CTCTCTCTCTCTCTCTCTCTCTCTCTCTCTCTCTCTCTCACTCTCTCTCTCCCTCTCTCTCTCTTCCCCCATGAGTCCTCGTCCTCTCACTCTCGGTCGCTATCTCACTTGTCGCTTTTCACACTCGCCCGATCTCACTCGGATATCGCACTCAAAGTCGATTTAACGATTAGCTCGCTTGCTTGCTTATCTTTTAATCGCTTCTAAACTACTACAGATGGATCGATCTACTGATCTCTAGATCGATAGCTCGGGCGCCTTTTGTACCCTCATGCCGACTCCCTCCGCGAGGGGCTTGGGGTAGCGAAAGGGAATCCGTCGAGCCTATCACGTCGACGCAAAACCCGCGTGTCTGGGTACGTTGCGGTTTGAATAATTAAGATTGTTCAACGGCCTTCGTCAGGGTCACACCAGACCGACTGTTGTTGTCGTACGATTCGTACAGCCTGCTTGTTGGCGAGCAACCGCCCCGCTTGCCTTCCGATCTCACGTCTATTCTTCGAATTCCTGACGCGCTGTGTACAGTCGGCGTCAATGAATCGTTTCGTGGACGCGAGGAGCTAGAAGTAAGAAGAACGGTATTCTAAGTAACGCTAACGGGCGCTGTACTAACTAACTGTAGCAATCATCTGATCCACAACTGTGCCGTGTCGATAATGTCAATGCTTTCCTTGACTATTTGTGTCTCAAAACGTAAAACTATCGCGGTAACTATTTGCGTATAACTATTTACACATATATGTGTGTGTGTGTAATAAATTGAATCATTACGTTTTCATAGTATAAAAATGTATATTGTAATTCTGTTCAAATTGTGTATATATTGTGAACGACTTTATTTTTGCTGCAATTCCTCTCGTTTCGGATGGTGTACGAGAGTGTCACACACACCTTCGGCACGTCCTTGGTCGTATTCAGAAATTCTTAAACACACGCACGTCAACAATAGCTCAACATAATCACAAATTACCTCGGACGTGACGGCAATCTCTCGCAATTGTCTTGGATTCTGAGCTCAGATTCTGAAACGGAGAGGCGGGGGTTCGGGAGGCAGCTTTAGGCGCAGAGAAGAAAGAAACTCAGCTCAAGTACAGACGGCGTCATTAATTCAAAGAATAGGCGCGGGGATCACATAAAAAGTCCAGTTGATCCAAATATCCATTAGTCTTAAAACCGGATGTCCAGTTGTGGACACCCGATTGCTACTAGTTAGTTAGTACGGCGCCCGTTGGCGCTACGAGCAACCGCCCCGCTTGCCCTCCGATCCCCGCGCCTATTCTTCGAATTAATGACGCCGTCTGTACCAGAGACACGAGTTAACAAAGTATGATATATTTAGACAATGGAAACACGTATTGCTGCGTTTCGCCGGTTTACACGGGCGCTAACGAGTCGGGATAGTCAGAGCCGGTCGACAGCACACGGCGGCACACGACGCTTATAAACGGCGATTCGACAAAAAGCAAAATACCCCGCAGGATGCGACGTTGGTCGACTACGCTTTCCGCTTCGTAGGTGAAACGACGGCCTTAGATAACAGTAACGATGGAAAATTGTCTCAGTAAAAAGTATTATTTTCAGACGGCAAGCCGAGGCACACAACGGTAACAAAGGATCGGCTTACGCGGCCGCTGATGCGATTTCAGGTGTAACTACAATAAGCACGGAATGCGTCAAAAAAACAACAGCACGACTCAAGGTTGTTTACGGCAATATACGTACGCACTGGTACGTATCACGATAAATTTGAACAAACACGGCACGATTAGTCAATTATTACGTTTCACGACATGAACGGAACAGCTACAGATTACACGAAAGATTGCTGCGACCGTGCGAAAGAGAGAGAGAGAGCGATATTTACATTATTTTACCAACACGACAAAACACGCAGTTCTCAACGCAAAACCCTCATGTCACGATAACGCTCGTCACGATTACCTCCGTGTCGAATCCGTGACACTAAACAACGGAATTTGAATCACCGGAGCGGTATATCGGCAAAGTCAACACGCGACACGCAGTTGCGGAGGTGAGAAACTTGGCGGCACTCGTCGGCGTCGACAGCTATCCTCGGATCTTACTCGGCAACCATATCGTCTGCTCCACCGGACATCACGGTCTCGGGTCCTCCTCGAGTTGACTGGTGACCGGCCCTTGCCTCAAAACAGCACTTTACCGTGGCACAAAGACTTTGCAGGAGGTTATCCCGGTGGCTCACGCCTCAACAACGGTACCCGCAACAGTGATCGTTAGACGCTACCGCATATATTTCCTTTCGTACGGCAGATCGCGCAGTACGTCACGTAGCCAATCAGGTGGCGCATCGCGTGGCGCGGTGATCAATTGCCACACGCGTGGATCTGCGTTCTCCTGCCAAGGGCGGCTATGTAGCCGCGCTGGGCCCTCGCCGCTCGAATCCTGTAGAGGATTTTCTCCACCTTTGCAAGGCTGATCCTCCACCTCGAGTTGGCAGGCCGTACGCTCTAGCCGGATCCCGACTTTCTTCACTTAGTCCGGGTTGCGCTTCATCCTCTTGCCCTAGATGCGATAACCGATCTCTTCTCGTCACTCTGCTCTTCACATCGCTCCTGCTTAACTGTCTTCTCGTCATCAGGATCGCTTTTTCTTTCCTGATTAACGCCGATGCACAATGAGCCTCTCTTTAGTCGGTAAAACAAAAACGGTACAAACACATAAAACGATTCTCCGCCCTGTGGCAAACGCAACGCAATTCACGTTAAAATAAAATAGCCAAGACTATATAACGCGCGCGAAACATTTGCTTGCGCTTATTGGCGCACGGTACTCCACGTCGGTCCAGAACGCACCACCAACAAAAATCGGCGCATTTAAGTGCGTCACGCAACAAAGATAGGTCGCTCTCTCCAAATCGTGAGAGACGCAAGCTTATTGTCCTTCTCTTTGGCTGTGCTAATTACACTGTGACGGACGCCGAAAAGGCGTCTAGTCTCACTATGTATATATTGAGTGTATATGTATATATTGAATAAATCAGGTCAATCAGCGCCGACCTTTAGCCGGCGCACGTCAGTGAACCACGCATCTATTGTGCGTGAGCGCTTCGCGCGGCTCACTTACCTGCATCCGGCTAAAGGTCGGCGCTGATTGGCCTGATTTACTTTATTATTACTCCTTTATTACATGTAATAAAAAAAATGGTTTAGAACTTTTCGACTCAGGTTTTACTGAAGAATAACGTTATGTGCTTATTGGGCGTTCTTCCAGTTACATCCTGTATATATATATATTAGATATTATGTATATAACTATGGAATAAATACAATTATTATTTATACATGTTACACACATTGTCATGTGTTACAATTATTTTCATATATATATATATATATATATATATATATAT